GCGTTTCCCCTTATGATCTTTTGTTACTTTTTATGAGTACTTGCTGCCTGACTTCAAAAGCAGTTCATCACCTTCATGCAGACAGTTATTAATAACTTACTTGGAACTGTTGGGCATTCCTGAGCCTGTTTTGTGCAAGTTTCTCTCTAGAAACAGTCAAAAAGTGACCATAATGTGTGCAGACCTCAAACCTCTTTTGCTAGCATCTGAAGGATCTCTCTCATGTCCTTCTGCTGCTGCTGTATGTAGATGCGTTCCATAGATGTAATGAATAAAAGAAAAACTAAAATTAAGTGAGTAATTAAATCTAACCTGTCCTGAATTATGGTAATGTGGCTGTTTCATCCTAAATTATCTGGAAATTTATAATATGTTGGGGAAAAATATTTTTTGTAATGATCTCTCTCTTAATCCATGCGGAAACAATGGGCTTTTCACTTCAGCTTCGGTGAGAACAGGCCTGAAATCCTGCCGTGAGCCTTGCTGGGGCAGGCATCCCTCCTCCCTGAGGGGCAGACGGCACCAAACCCACCCCGTCGCTTGGATTCAGCAGGGAGGACAAAACCTACTTCTCTGACAATTCAGAAGGAAAGCATTAGGATAGTTAATGTGAGTTGCTGTTCCTTAACATCAGAGATTCCACTAAAGAACTAATAATTACTGTTAATATCTTTCAGCGGAAACTTTCAGAGTAACCCAGCACCGGTTGAAGCAGTATTTAACGGCATGCTGCTGGCATGATAAGAATGCAAATAAGCGTTATTAGCCTAATGATTCTGCTGTCGCCATGGCTGTGCGCGGCGGTGTTGTGAATATGTCATGCAGTACCCGTGAATTTGGAAAGTGTGTCAAAACACAACTTCAATTAGTTTGCTCTAATTATGGCCCTGGAGAGTTCATAACTATATCACTCCTCATTAAAAGAGATTTTCGTATATGGATTAATACAGCACGTAAGGATCCGAGGCAGGGTGGAAGGAGGGTGTCCGCGGGGCAGCGCGCGGCTCCGGGGCAGTCCCAGGGCCGGGCCCTGCACCCCCGGGGGCTCCCCCTGCGCTGGCCGGCCGCTGGCTTGGGGTCTGTGCCCCTTGGAGCAGGGCTTTGTCCCTCGGCACACAGACCTGGGTGATGATTCTGGACGTGTTCTTCAGTTAATTTAAAAAACAACAGCAAAAAAAAAACAAACCACCACTCCAGAAACAACACTTGGTGGTAAGGCAGGGATCCAGCCTGAAAAATCTGCTCCGACAAAGGTCAAAGAGCACAGGTAGTCAGCAGCCTGTGGGATGCCAAACGTGCAGGTACCTCTAGCAGTGTTGTTACATCCTTTAAATGTTGTCGTTTTGTATTGTGCCAGCACGTTCTTGCTTTGCAGAACGGGGAAGAGATTCTTGTGCCCACAGGTGAGCAGTTGGTGAGGGGTTAAAGTAGTAATTGTTCAAATCTTTCAGGCTTTCCTCCCAGTTCTGTGATAATTTGATGAAGAACTTCACCCTAATTAAATATTCAAATTAGGAATAAGTGTCAATATGGCTTCCCATTGCCTGGAATGATGATTAATTGTATTCAAAACTCTAGTGGCCGCTGTAATCTAAACCAAACCGTTGTTCTTGATTATTTCTGCAACACATTTACCATGTTTTTGTTTTAAAATTTAAACTAGTAATTGATTTGCCATATGCCACAGAGCTGCACATACTTTCACGATATGTGTTTAGGAACTTGGGGACTTTGTAATTGGGATTTTCTTGCTTTTCAATGGCAGCCTCTCTTTCTTTTTTTTTTTTTTTTTTTTGTCTTCTACACTGTAAAATGATTTGGCTTTCACAACGCATAAGGAAAATGCATTATGCAATCAACTGACTAGGTATAAGTTATATTGATCCTGGCTAAAGTTTGCATTAATTTAAAATAAATTAGACTTTGTTTCCCATATTTCCCTACCATGTCATGCTCTTAAAAGAGAAAGGGGGAGGGGAAGAACCGATCTCATTCTAGCAGCCTGGTAGAAGGGATGAAATACCTGTTTGTCCTACCTCAGAGAAAGGAAGGTGGCAAAAGAAGTGGAGACAGAAACAACGGCGTTTTATGTTGCTTTTGAGCACCTTCACAGCAGTGCTCAGGATGCGGCGCTGGAAGGTGATCGGGTGGGATGGGCGCTTGTGGCACGGGGAGCCCCGCGAGAGCGGCTGCAGGGCTGCCTGCCCACCACCGCCAAGCATCAAAGCACGCACCTACCGGCGGTGCTTGTACTTTTCCCCAGCTTGGGGGAGTGTTTGGGTATGTATTTTCACATTGATACATCTGGAATGAAAAGCAAATAGGATATTATGTCTGGCTCTGTGAACTTCTGCTGCCATATTCGTGTGTATATGGTCAGAGTCCGTCAGACTGCGAGTGATTCATTTTAATTACGCGTGTGGAACGCGTGCACCACTTCAACATATGGTGCTTGTGAAACCTGGTGCTGCCGTGAGCTGCCACGCAGACTTGGTAGTGCCCGGGGACTTGGTCTGGGATGTCTTTTGCAAAGTAAGATTTCAGAGCTGTGTTGGAAGGCTGCGGTGTTTGTTCGTGGCACTGACAGCTCTGTAATTGTGCTTACACAATGCCTCTGTGAGCTACCTGTGGAGCTGTCCTTTCCATCCTGCAGGTCGATGCGATGTGCATGACCAGCTTCAGCAGCGTGCGGTGGTCTCTCTGGGCTTGGTGGTGGCTTGCTGAAAAGAACTGTACATATGGAAAAGATTTAGCCTCTTACAGCAGAAGCTGGGATAAACGTTTAAAGTACTCCGCTCAGAAATGGGCCTTTTTAAATAGACCTGCTTTGTTTACTTCCAAAGCATTTCCTGCTGTTTCGTTTAGGTATGAAGAAAACAATCTGCAGTGCAAGTAAGAGAAATTCAGGGATCTTTGTTAGCTGTTTTGATGCCTCAAAGTATTTTTAGATACTGCTAAAAACAAATGAAATGTGTGTAATGCCTACAGGCAGTGGTCTCCTGTTTTAAAAGTGTGTTCATGACAAACCTGCCTGTGCTGGCCAAGAGAGTTTCATATGGATTGTGTTTTAAACAGAAAACTGTTAGCCAAATTTGAAAATATTTTCACACCATTTTTTAATTTTTTTTTTTTTTAGAAATAGCTTCAGGAAACACAAGCAAATTCAAACTGATGTTTGCTTTTTCTTATTTTATCCGTGCTGTTCACCATCAGCTGCATCAAGATCTAAAAATACGTAGCTCTTCACAAAATGCGTCCTGCTTTTAAAGGCAGATAATTTCCAGATGATCTGCTCGATAGATAAAACCTGCTAGCTAAGAAAATGGATCTGGTGCTGTGCTGGAGAATACAGAGGGCTCTTTGTTGCCCATCACAAATACCGTGGCTGCAAAAGAGGCCGCCTTGTTTTCTGGCAAGAGGGCATGCCAAGCATCTCGCCACATTCGGGTAGCTTTGCCCTTTGTGCAGTGGTAGCTGTTGCCTTTGTCTTCATGGTAGAGTAAGTCCCTCTGCAGAGAGGGAGCATCTTCATTATGTATGGCAACAGGGTCCAGAAGATTGATGGTAACGTTCTACAGGAATTTGAGTAGACTTGAGATCAGCATTAGAAAAAATACGAATTTGGATTAGAAGGGAGAAGCTGGGATCTCTCACCAAAGCATGAGAATCTGCGGGCTGCCAGTAGCAACGTGAGCAAGAAGCCTTTCCTTGGGGACACTTCCAGGGGAAGTCGGGGGGGGGGGGGCACAGTGTCAGGGGACAGAGCGGGGTTCTCTGCCCTGTGGGGCGGGCTGGGCAGCAGCAGAACATGTCGTGTCCTCCCAGATCTGAGTGCTCAGGTGTCTGGGCAGTTCTGGGTTGTGTCCTGCCAGCACAAGTTTTAGTGAGCAGCGTGGGGCTGCTGTTCGCTGCTTGTGCCATGTCCCAAGGGCGGTTGGGTCCCATCCACCTCAGGGCTGGGGGGGCTGGTGCCAAGGCTCCAGGCTCCAGCAGTGTGGGATGTGACCAGCCTTGCTGGCCCCAAGAGCAGGGCTCGCTGTCACCTCCATCTCTCCAGTACCGCGTCATTTCTGGGAAGGCTGTCTGTTCTTCAAGCCTCTGTCCGGGCTCACTGTGTGCTGGGTTTTCCTTTTAATGACCTCTGGGCCACTGAAAGTAGTTTCACCTTCACTTCTATGAGTTCCTGTTTTTTTTTTTTTTCCTATTTATAGCTAGTACAAGGAGGATTTAACAAAAGATGTAAAAAATGTCTCTGCTGCGGGAAAGGCTGTGCAGAGAGCTGTTGGTAGGCAGGGCACACTTGCTTGTTCCATTTAGGGAGAGGCAAGGGGGTGACGTTTGCCTTTCCTTTCCTCTGCAAGTGGAGGGAAGCTCAATTTGTGTATCCTCCTCTGCATCGGAGAGCAGGGTAGCGTGCAGCATGCCTTGGTTAAGTCTGGAGCAGACCACAGCCATTGAGATTTTAAAGGTTTTATGTATGAATGTACTTAGGTTTTGATACAGATCAATCCAAAGCACTCACTGATAGTGTCCTCTGCCTTGAAGGAACCACAGCCAAGTCCCTACCGGGTGCACTCCAGGTGCCTTTTGCTCGCGGGGGGAGGCTTGTGCTCACCAGCCACCATGCGGGTGTTTTGAGGCTGTGTCCTGCTCTGGAGCCCACCTTGCAGACAGATGCTGCTGCTCGGTAGTATTTTGATTGTTGGCTCAGTTTGATGTTCAGTGGGGTGGAGGGAGCTTGCGCCGGGGTAGCAGCCCCGTCCTGCTCACAGCTGGACTGAGAAGCAGATGCAAGCTGCTGAACTGCACTGAGCTGTGATGGTGGAGTCACCACCTCTGTCTCCTCACTGTTATTTGGGATCCACTCCATCTCTTAGAAGTGTTAAAACTGATGTTTGGGCTTAACCTGAGCACAACTGTAAGGCAAGAATGAGCTGATAACAGCAGTGTCTTTTGGTCTGTAGAAATATCATCTTGATTTCCCCGTTTCTCTTCCCCAGGCACATCTCGCTAACTCTTCCTGCTAGCTTTCGAGGCAAAAGTCACAGCACTCGCCTGGACTTGGAGCACCAGCACTCAAATTTGTATGCTATATCAGGTAAGCTGGCACATGCAATGGTTTCTCTGCACCTCTACTCAGAAGCGTAACCAGGTAAAGCAGTCCCATTTGCATAAATAGCCAGATGTGTGGTATCTGTGAAATATGCTTCCAGCTTTTCTGGCAGTGCCATTTAATTGTCGAGAGCATGAGGGGCACAGAGGGATGCCAGAAAATGCACAGGCACGAGTATTACAGGTGGCAAACATTGCTCATCACAGGGGAGACTGCAGACCTCAGGGAGGGATGCTGCTGCCCGTGTGGGCTCTAGATGAGAGATCTGGTGGAAGGCAACACTGGCACAAACTGCTCCTCATCTTTTACAACCCACCAGTGAAGATCACGAAAAAGATGACATCTCTGCACACTTAGCAGGAGGCTTCATCTAGCATTGCAAGGATGAGTTATCATACATGCAATTCTTTGCTACACTCAACATACCCTAACATTGCTGTTTTTAACAGGTAAATTTGCAATTTGATGTTAGGATGTGGGGGATTCTACTTTACTTTTAAAAACCAGGTGCTTGAATGTGCACAACCGTTCTCTCTAGCTGTGACTTTCTCTCTGTTAGCCAGTCCTGGCCAGCATGCAAATGCTGGAACTGACGTGTTCCCAGATGCCAGTGTGAGGAGAAAAAAAAAACAAAACAAAACAAAAAAAAAAAACAACCTGCTAGTGAATATTTTTTCTATTTTTAATTTTTACTTAGTCTGTAGGGAAGATGTATGTTTAATAGAGTGGTGAGGCTCAAGCCCATGCCTCCGCCCACGCAGGTACCGGTGCTCTGTTTCTGTGCTTCAGGACCACGTGGTGCATTCATTTTGGAACTGGGGTCCCTGCTGAGCTGTCCCTGACAGCTCTGTTCTTCTGAGCAGGTCTTGCCTTTGAGTGCTTGATTTCTTGGAAGATGAGTGCGCTGAAAAGGAACACGGCGTGTTTCTCAGGGCCCAGGATGAACTCGTGCCTGGGAGCGAGAGGCAGGGATGCTTTACAGAATTGCACCTCTTGGAGTCCGTCGCTGCTGGTAACGCGGAGGGCTGTCTGGAAGCAAAAGGACTTCTGTTGCTGCAAGCTAAAGGCAAATGCTACGTGCAGCTCTGGCACAACAGTGCATTTCACCTGCTTCTTCTCTTACGGGATTATCTCATTCTGTACTTCAGATAAGTAGTGCTGGAGTGCAACATATTTTCCTCAAAATTATTATTTTAGAGTAATCTTACACCTGCACAAGTGCTGTGATAGCTGTAGTAGAAACACACTTAGCTGCAGCTTTCTCTTCATTGTGACGTTTTTGCAAGAGGAAAAAAAATACTAGCTTTAACACTAGCCTTAGCAAAACCTAATGGAAGTACAATCCCTTCATTTGGCTGAAGCAGATTTTCAGGATGGTTTGGAAACCCAGGAAAAGCAGCAGTGGGTTGTGCAATAGGTACTTGCTTGTGCATAATCAGAGCAGAGAAGATGGCAAAAATGTGCCATTCACAGGTCCTTTCTATTAATAGTGAGTGACACTTCTAACATGGGAACATGGCATTAATTCATGTACCATAATCAAAGGGTTATTTAAAAGGTAATCTCTGACTGAAACTGCAGCTTCAGGTTCCTAAATAGATGGAATATAACAATGGCATAATTCTTGTCAGTACTCGTTTTTCTTGTTACTTTCCTGCCCTAATAGATTTAGAAATGTAAGGGAAAGCATGTTCTTGTGTTCACATGAGACCATCCTGCAGAGAGGATGGGGAAGCTGGTGCTTCTCTCCTAATAAAGCACCAACGCACCACCAGCAGCAGCTCTGCACGAGCAGTGCTGGCCATGGCCCTGCTGCTAGGGCTGCCCATGGACCGCCTCTGCTTGTAGCATAACCAGCCGGGAAAGATGACCAGTTTTGCAAAGACCTGAATGTCTTACCAGATAATTACAGGCAAAGCATAAAACACACTTGAACGACTGAGCATGGCGCTGGTCCCCCACGTTCACAGAAGCCCATTTCAGAACACATCACTGCGCACCCCCGATGGCACAGCTCTGCAGGCACTGTTAGACAGGTCGCACAGACGCGTGTGGTAATGGCTATCGCAGCTGTGAGGCGTTTCTGAAGGAAGGCTCTTGTCGTGTGAAACATCCTGTGCGTTGGCAGGGACCTTCGGCATAGCTCCTGACCACTGCAGCCTTTTCAGCAGCCGTGATGAGGTGCTGAGACAGTTCCCTCTGCGTGCTTAAACGTTACCGAGGCAGGCAAACCCCAGGGCGCACAGTGGAAACCATTCAGAAGTTTCCTGTTATGTCGCTGTAGTTTGCAGCCAGTCCCTTTTATCTCTGCTGTGATGTTAGTGTCTCGCTGCAGCGCCATGGCAACGGGAAGCTTATGAATGCCTCCGCACCGCCCCGAGCTGCTCTGCCAGCTTGTGCTGTGCCGCCCTGGGGTCCCGCGGCTCCGGGGGTGACGGGTACGTGGGGAGCGGGGGCTTGCTCCTGTGGGGAGCGCGGAGCCCCTGGGCTGCGGTGCTGGGCGGCCACCAGGGCAGGGAGGTGACCCCGGGAGGTGACCCCGGGGCCGCGGCTCTGGGTGCAGAGCTGCAGAGCTGGCGCTGCCGGCGCGCGGACAAGCTGCTGGCTCCCTCTCTTGGCTCTCGGCATAATGGAAGGCTCCTGGTACTGGCACAGGGAAACAAAAGCCGTTATATATAAACAGCCTCTTGCTTTCTAGTTCTGGTATCGCCCCGGTCTGAATTCTTGTGGTGAGAGCAGGAGGGGGTGCTGAGGAAGAGAGCTGTAGAAAGGAGGGTGATATGAGGAGTTGTGCTGTGGTCTCAGACACCTAACACTTCCTCAGTAGTCGTGAAAATGAAGTGCTCAGAGGTTTTCAGGTAGGTGAGGTGGGTTTTGGCTGTCGAGCCGACCTGGTTCTACCAAACTACGTTTTGGAAGAAATTGCCATGTCCCCACTGGAACTGTCCTGTTACTTCTCCACGTATGTAGTGTAATTCTTACTGCAAATCTGGAAGAAATGGTTCTGAAGGTAGTAGCTAGAGTCTTTAACCAGCTCATTGTCATTTCCAATCTTGGCAATTACACATTGTGCCACCAGAAAGTTAGTTTGTTGTGCAAACAGGAGACTCCCTAATTAATCAGCCTTTGACAAGTTGCATATAGGAAACTATTGCCCTGCCCTCCCGGCACTGCAAAGGGAACCTTCCCTGTGCTGCCGTACATAGTGCTGTCGCCCACCTCCTCCACACCCAGCAGGCTCCCGTTCCCACACCACGCCGTGCTTCCAAGGCCGAAGCACAGAATTGCCTATAGGTTGATCTACAAAAGGTCTCTGGGAGCACGGTGCTGAGGAGCTGACAGGTGCAATAAGCATGTTCAAATGGGCAGCTGCTGGAAGAAGAATGCCTTGCTGCAGACAGACCTGTCGACAGACATTGCTCGGTATTTCACAGCATAGTCTTTCTTCATGGCCTTCAGCTTAATTAAGATGTTGTCGTGACTACATACTGCCTTCATTTCAGACTTCAGCGTCCTCTGGCTGCATATTGCTTTGGCTTATCAGAGCCACAAGGACAGAGGGAGCCCTCTCAGGCAGCCACAGTTGATAACGTGCAGGGAAAATTCCTGAATGAAGTGAAAAATTATTTATAATAATGGTACTCAAATAGAAGGGAAATAAGTCACTTTAAGGGTATATAAATTTTTATGATAGTGTATAAACAGCCACAGCTTGCCTTGTCTCCCATCTATCCCTGCAGAGAATGAGGGCAACATCTAGCATAAAGAAAAATATAATAAGAAAACAAAGAAATGAATGGGAAGAGCTGGAGGATTGATCACTCGGTGTATTTGTATATCCTGATGTAAAAGGTGCTGCTGACAGCTGGCCAGGTTTCTTCTGTATAAAACCATGTGTGTGCTGTCAGGGCGGTGTGAGCAGCCTTGTTTCGATTGATGAATTGCCTGCTTTCTTGATTAAACCTTCCGTCACTTAAGAAACAAAAAGCCTGTGTTTGGATGGCAGAGTGGGACATGTCAAAAAAATCTGTCTGCTTTACCTTTGTGCAGATGTTGGGCACAGACTGTAACATGTATTATTAAAATGAATGTGGCATTTACTGTGCATTATTTCTTTCCTGGGAGAAAGGACCTGTAAATTATATGCTAATAATAAGCCTTAACCCTTTCAGAAACCAAAAGATTTAGAAGTGCAAATATTCTCACAGGCAATGCTAACAGGATGGGCTTTAATACCACTAACTCTCTGAAGTGCATAAACAGTGTGTTTCAGGCCAAGATGCTGATGTCCCTTGGGAATCTTGCTTCCAGTAAGTTTTCTGCTGTGTGTCAATGGGTAAACCTTCAGAATTACAGGATTTTCTATTGAAAGCTTTCAAATTCCGACTGCAGGCAAAAGCTGTCTCCCTGCTGGAGGACAAGGCCAGCAGAGGAGAGGTTACACAGCCAGCCAGGCACGACCTGCGTGGCAGCAAGGCAGTGCTCTGCCCCAGGAGCTCTTGGAGCTTCCCCGCAGCTGCATCAGCTCCAGCATTTGATTTAACTTCCAGAATTGCTTTAACCTGCCAGTCAGACATAATGCAACCAACTTGCTATTTCAAGAAAAGGATTAGAGATGGAAGAAAGTCTTAACGTTCCTTGCAGCACACGTGGCAGGATTTAGCATTACAAACTCGTGGCTATGCTTGCAAAATGAGATTTTTACTTTCTCAGCTGTGAGTTCCAAGGAATTACAGGATGGTCCAAGCAGGGTGCTTCCATGCTGTGCAGCTTTTGCCTGCTAATATCAGGTGGGCAAAGCCATCTCTGGCTTTGGTGTGTGACCCTGCATGCTGCTGGGCAGGGTTGTCGTTTTTTGGTCCTGAAATTCAACTGTAGCCAGCTTCAGTCATGTCGTGGGTAGACACGTTTGCTGGTACCCTTGTAGAACACAAACTTGTATTGACTGCCTTATGTTCAAAATTTGTGTGTAACTTCTGAAATGTGTTGCTCTTGGGCTGTTAGGAGAAATTGCAGTGCATGAAGTGCGTCAGATACTTCTGCATGGCCCAGTCAGAAGGTGTGCAGAAAATAGTTACAGCCTCTTTGTATCAGTTGTATAGGAAACACACCTCTGAACTTCCAGGTACTGCTTCAGCTTCCATCTCAAAGGCAGAAACCTGGCTTCTGGCATAGAATTCTGTACCTCCAAGGATTTTTGCTCTAGTGGAAACCTGGAGATAACAAGATGATCACAGCTACCCTTGTATATGACCAAGTTTAATTTATTTTGAACGCTAAAATATGGAAACTGCAGAAAAAAAAGCAGAACATACTTTGCATGTTTGTGATCATTGTTTTCAAATAATACTTGCCAATTGTCAGCCCAAAACAATTAAAACGTTTGTACAAATACTTTAAAAGGAACAGCTGATATTAGCTTGGCATTAATATGCCATCCATATGTTTGGTACCTCAAGCCATGTTAATCCATGGAAATAACACAGCGCCCAGAAGCACGTATTATTTGTACTGTATGGAAGCTAACCGAATTGGTTTTTAAAATATAGTTCAGGTTCTCATGGCATTTGAAAAGTTTTCAGTTCAGTTACGGATCCTTCAAAAAGCATTTGTGGAGCCAACAGCCAGTGCACCCCGTGCAGAGGTTTCCTGTGCCTGCAGCTGAGCTCTCAGCAGCTGAGCACGAGCAGCCAAGCTCGGCGCCAAGGGGCTGCTGCTGCCAGATCCTTTGCTTGAAGCGCTTTGTGCAGCCAGCCTGTAGCATTGCTCTCTGCTTGCGTGTTTAGTTGTATGTCATTCAAATGTGGCTTCTCATTTTTCTCAAATCCTTTTATCCATTCAGACTGTATCGCTAATTATGGCTGGAATTTTCTGAAAATGTTAAAAGTTTTGCTTGTATTGAACTGAAGATGGAGGTTTCCATACTCTTTCAAAGGAAAACACCCCGTCCTCCAGGCTGAAGCTTGGATACCATAGATGTCACATCTCTGAATGAAGCTTCTCACTTTGCAAATCTGTGGTGTGAATGCCTGTAAGGAACAAACGGCAGAAGGCTTTCTCAGGCCTGGGGGACTCAGCTTGGCCAGTGAACAATAGTGCACATGCCTTACTTTCCGTACAGCTTAAAAAATCTAGCTGTGTTGCACTGAGCCACTGGTGAGTCGTGGCCAGGGCCAGAAAGCCGCAGGTATTCAGTGCTTCTAGAAGGTTTGGGAGGATTTGGTAAATGGTGTTTGTTCCAATGCTGGTTTGTAATCCGGGAATGGAAACTGCTGCTAAGGATCTGGAAAAACATCAGTCAGTGGGTTCCTGGGGTGGGAAGGGAGGTGCTTTCCTGTATCGGATAATGCAGACCTTGGCAAAGAGACTCGTAACTTTTTGTGGGTAGTTTCTTCTTTTTTCTTTTTTTTTTTTTTTAAAGGATTTACTTTACACACTGCTCTTATGGTAGCAGTTTGCTTCCAGATTCCCTGTCCTTTCTGGAGCTCGTTGGATTATTCAGCATGGCCTTCAGTCGTGAAGCCCTCGTGCTCTGGAATGCATCAGAAGGAAGGTGCCAGCGCATCGCTGGGGAGCCGGGGGCCTTGGGGGTGGCTCGCTGCTCTGCCTTCTGGCAGCTTGGTTTTTCTGGTGCTCTGTGATTGACTCAAGGGTGCCTTGTTGCATGTGCCACATTAGGACAAACAAATAAATAAACCCCCCTGGTCTTTCTAGATTAAGAAATGGAAGAAAAATGAAAGATTTCGTTACATTTCAGTGCCCATATGTCAACTTCTTTCTTGTTGCAAAATGTCAGGTTATCTGTGGTACAACTGCCACTTACTTCTCTTCAATGTACATTTTCTTTTAGAAGATACTGTATCTTTTATCTGTATGTAATGAGGACAGACGTTTTAATCAGAGGTTAGTCATTTATTTTTGCAAACTATTGTTTTGCTTCATCATTTTTGCAGATAATTAAATGGTTCACTTGGCACAGTGTGTCTGCTTTATTAAAACAGGTAATTTTGAAAAAAAGAAAGATGCTATTTTTTGGATCACTGCACAAGAATTGCTTTTATCTTCATCTTCCTGCATAGTTTCTGGTGGTTTTGCAATACCCTCCTATCTTCATGTATTTTAGTACATTCTTCTCTCTAAGGGGGGAGGCCCCAGTGCTATGTTTTACCGTTGATCCAGATTTCCACATGTATGTTCTTTGCACTTCTTGGGAATAAAATCAGAATAAATTTATTTTTGTGACACCAAAATTTAATCAGCATGGTCCAAACAAAAAAACACCAGACAAGTTGTGACACAAGCTTTATTCTGCATCGAAACCTCTACTGGGCTGAGATTAAAGTCATCCTGTTTTTCTGCCCTATTGAAATTTCCAGTCTTTGGATTTAGAGACCTGGATAATCTTCAAAATATAAGAGGTTCTATTAATAACCAGCAGTGCAGGGAGACTGAAGGCTCATGTAAGATGCTGCAGCTGCGTATTTCAGAGAGGGAAATGTAAGTGTTATTTAATACTGTATTTAATGAGATTCAAAGGAGCATATTTCCTACTAAATTCTGCTCATCTGTGGTATACAGATTTTTGTGCACGCTTGCTGCTGTAGTGCAACATCCCGTGTTTTCAGTGCTACGCTCAGGTGGGCTCAGACCAGACGGTGAAAGATGAAGCCGCGAGTTCTGCTTTCTGTATATTTTTTTCAGGCATGTGATTTTTCTGATTAACCTGGTGTAGTCCAAAGCTGAAATTGTCTTCACCATCCCATTTTTCTGTAGCTGTATTTAGGTTTTGGCTGCGGTGCTGCTCTTTGCCATGCATTTAGTCTGTTATCCCATGAAGCTGCGTACTGGTGTATAAAGTTTCATTTTTTTCACGCTGTAACGTGCCAGACTTGGTCTTCACTCGTTTTACTCAGATTGCATGTCCTCCAAGGGAAGTGCTTGTGGATTTCCACCCGGAGCGTTACCGGGTTCCTCACCCCAGGTGTGCAGGCAGGCATGTGGGCAGGGGCTCGCACCGTGCCCACCGTGGGGGCGGTGGTGAAGGTGTTGCTGGCAGGGAGCCATCAGGGCGCTGCTGCCCACCTGCGCTTGCTTGGAGAGACGCTGGCACGTGGCTGCTCCTGAGGACTTGCACCAGTTGCTTGTGGAGCACAACCTCCGAGGTGGGCTGCACTGTATTTGTTTTGCTTTTCTGAGTGCCGTAGTTTAATTTTTTTTAAATAGGAAGCCGCTATGCGGTTTGGATATTTAAACAGTTATTAACCGAATGACAATTAACAGATTGCATAGACAGATTTTCTTTTCAAAACCTCTGAAATTGAGTACAGTTTGCAAAACTATCACGGCATAGTAATGACAATGAATTTTGATTTCCCGGAACTGATATTAGACTCCTTATTAAACTATGTGCATCTGCTTTTAATTTACTCCAAATAATTGGAAAATGCAATGAAGCTTTCCAATTAAAGCACGGCTTTATGCTGTTTAATAATACCCCCATAATATTATAGCTTATGAAGTGACAGGTGAGTTGGTATATGAATAAAACATAAAGGCAGCAATAAGGGACAGAAAACCAGAGACAGTTGTTGGGGATTTTAAATGCTGGATGTAATTTGCATATATTAATCTCTTCTTTTCAGCCTTATCAGGCGTTCTTCAGTATTTGAAGTTAAAATAGCGTTGACAGGCGGGAGTACGCTTAGTTTTTTCAAGGATTTATTACTTGTATAATTTCTGATCTTTAATAAGCAGATATGACTGATCCTCATAGTTCTATAGAAATCGGTTAATTGTTCCAGATGGCGTGTACTGATTATGCAAAATTACTTTTCACACCATTTTTTTTTTCTGATGGAGTTTGGAGTAAAATTAAATTTTTTATAGCCTTCTTATCATGCTGTTTTACAGTGGTTTTTGCACAGAAGTTGAATTTAATCTACTATATTACATTGACCAGCAGAGTTATTCTAATGTAGTATTTTGTGATTTGACAAAGAATAATAGAACACATTGCTCATTGTTCGTTACTGTGCTGCTAATAAAAAGGAGTTCTAGTGCAGAAAACCAGGCTGTTATTTATGAAGAATGCTTAATTTGC